TGCACAATCAGCTTGTAACACTCCAAAGAGAAAGGAAAACTTGAAATCGCATCATATGACCCCTTTAAAGGAATCTATTCCTGATTCCAAGCCTTGAGCTCTACCCGGGCCCAGGAGTCTGGCCCTAACAAGTAAATATTTTTGGGGTATGTAGCCTAGGCCTTTGGCCGTAGGGAATAACGTCACTGACAGCCATCTAACGTCCCAGGGGCAACTCCCATAGCAATATGGTAGAGTTGGTACTTAGTGCTCACCATGGTTCTGGCATGCACTCCCCTCAGCATGGTGGCGTGGGTATACCATTCCCCATAGCAACCCCTAGAGGACGCAGTTCGAAGTTCCCATGAAAGGGAACGTCTCAGGTTACTTGTGTAACCATGGTTCCCTGAGTAGGGAACGAGACACTGCGTCCTCTAGGTTTCTTGCCATGCTGCGGACGCAAGCTTCAGACGAAGAAGTGAATGATGTGTGCTCCTGGCGCCTATTTATACTATAGTCGCACCGGTAGTGACGTCACGGTTGTCGCTGGCCAACGAGTTGGTGTTTTTTCAATGTATGCTTCAGACAAGGGTCATGACGAGGCGTTCCCCATAGCGACCCCTAGAGGACGCAGTGTCTACTCTACACAAGTAACCTGAGACGTTCTCAACTGGGGCAAAGGGGCCTCTGCAAATTTCCTGGGGTCACCAATAAATCTATAAATTATTTACATTTACATAATATTATCATGATTTTCAATGTCATAAAACACAAAAAAATAAAGATGTTCGATATTAAAATGAAATCATATTTTGAGGTCAGATGCACTGGTCTAAATACATTAAACAAAACACCAAAACTAAAATTAATCATTTTCATTTATAATTTGTTACAAGTAAATGTAGGTATTGCAACATTATAATGTACAGTATTAAAAATGGATATTTATTTTGAGTTTTTAATCAAGATTATATTTTACAGTGTTATTAAATTACTTGTGTTTTAAAGACTAACTTTAAGTGAGCATTGATGGCAAAAGTAATCTAAATGTGAAAAAAGAAATGAGCCTGCACAATTAAATTTTCCAAAATCAGTTAACACTGGCAAATTTTAATAATGAAAGAAAGAAAGAAAGAAAGAAAGAAAGAAAGAAATGACTCTAATATGGATTGTTAACCGATATGGTATGAATTTATATCATGCATCCCAAGGGTTGCTGATAGTGTAAATCACTCTATACAGAAAAAATAGCCTAATCGTTAGGGATGTGACGATTGACTCAACTCACGATTTGATTCGATTCACAATTCTGATCTCACGATTAGATTTTTTTTTACGATTTTCTCAACAAAATGAGTTGAGACAAATTACAAATGAACAAGTGCCCTTTTATTATTTTATTATTTCACAAATGCTGCACATTTCTTAAAAATATATTTTATGTCAATTAACATAACTAAATTGCAATATTAAAACACAATCCAAATCAAAAAAAAAAAAAAAAAACACAAATAAGCACATTTACAATGTCCCCTGCTGATGAAAAAACCTTTTCACTAGGGACTGAGGTGGCTGGTGTGGGAGAGGTATGCTTTTGCTAGACCAAAGAGCAGTGGGTACAGCCTAGCATTCTCTTTCCACCACTTGAGTAGGTAGCTGTTGAGGGAAATGGATGTTTCAGCTCTGTACTTATTCATTTCTGCATCAATCTGATTGATAGGCTGTGCAGCTGCAGCTGGTTCATCGAAACCTCCAAGAAGATCCTCCAGTGCAGTTTTCTTGGGAGGAGGTTGTTTCTGCTCAGCTCCTGTGCTATCTGTCTGGTCAAGAGGCTCCTCTGTTGCAGGGGGGTGGCCACTGGCACCTTCTTCACCCTCATCCTCATCAGCAGAAATAAAAAGACTGATTATATAGTACAATAGTGACAAGAGTTTCACATGGTTATAAAGGCAAAATTTTAATATTATTTGTTATAATTTGTATCATTACAATACACTTACAAGTTACAAGAGATAAACTTGAACACTTTTTTAATATGCAATAATAATCAACAAATTATTAAAAATCCATAAACAAATTTGGAGCAAGAGAAGGTAAAAAAGAAACAATACCTGGTTCTGCAACAGCACAGCTTTCTCTTTCAGTTTGTGGAATACATCTTCATGCTGGTTTTTCTCTAGATGTGGCAGAGCCCGGAATCTGGGGTCTAAGGCAGTGCACTCCAGCAGGTAGTTGTACTCCAAAGTGCGTATCTGTCTGAAAGGTTGTTCAGTATAACTCTCTTCATGTTACTCACAGTGAGGGAGTCTTCTTCGTTGGATGCCATGTTTTGCTTGATCATATGCTTTAAGGGCACAATGAGAGACACCATTGGATTTTTTTAGTCACACAGCACAGTGGTAGCCGTTTTCAGTGGCTTAAGAAGCGTCACTATGTCCTCCGCATCACGGATGTCTGAGCCATCCAAAGTATCAATGTCACGTACATTTCGCCGAACGTCATTGCTCAGGAGAGTCGCTGTCACAACCGCTTGCTGTTTGAGATAGGGTTTGATCATATCCAGACTGCTGTTCCACCGCGTAGGGACATCTATGATTAACTTGTGCGCTGGAAAATCCAGCAGTATCTGTTTGGCCGCAAGCGTGCGCCTTATTCTGCTCAACAAACGGCTCACTCGTGGCACACTCAAACCTGCTTGGCTGGCCAAGTTTAAAGTGTGGGCAAAACACCTGACATGGGGGGCTAGCCCAGCCTCTCTGACAGCAACATCCATATTTCTCACATTGTCTGTCACAACAACAATTCCACGGTTAGCCTTTTAAAGCCCCCATTCACTCACAGCTGATTTTAAAACTTCAGCAATATTTGCCCCGGTGTGTGTTTCAAACAGAGGGCGAGTTTGAAGGACAAAATTGACCATCTCCCACTCGCTGGTTATCAAATGGGCTGTGACTGTAAGATAACTCTGGGTAGCCCTGGACGTCCAGCTGTCGGTTGTAATTGACACGCTGTCTGCCATTCCGAGTCTCAACCACCTTAGATTTTGTTTCTCTGTAAAGCGTTGGCACGACAGTCTGGCTAAAGTGGGGACGTGATGGGATTGTGTATCTGAGTTCCAGTGTGTTCACCAGAAGCCGAAATCCTTCATTTTCTACTAAAGAAAACGGCCTCATATCTTTTGCCATGAAGACACCGATGCACCGTGTGATCGCCGCAGCTCTCGCACTCGTCGGATTGAGCGGGCTGCAAATCCTTCGGTCAGTGTGGTTTGGCCTAATAGCTTTTGGCCTACAGACAGCTGTGACTGGATTTTTCACTTTGGTAACGGTTTATGTGCTGCAACATATTTGTGGTGCTGTTAGTGTATGTAAACGTCTTCTTGCAGTGTTTGCACACGGTTTTTGTTTTATCTGTTAGCACCTCACCTCTGTCATTTTTAGTCTTATTCAGAAAGCCAAAATGCCACCACACCTCTGATTTGGATGAGGCTTCCTCAATATCCACACTCGTCGTCGCCGTGCTTTAAACTGTTTGCTACAACTTGTTGTTCACCACTATTGCGCATGAAAGCGAGTTTGCAGTAAACACAGCGGCCCCTGCTGTTCAAAACATGTATCGCGATTCATTTAAAGGTGACCTATTATGCCCCTTTCTACAATATGTAATACAAGTCCCAGGTGTCCCCAGAATTTGACTGTGAAGTTTCAGCTCAAAATACCCCACTGATCATTTATTATATCATTTTGAAAATGCCTATTTTGAGAGGAAGCAGAAACACCCTGTTTTCGTGCATGTATCTTTAAATGCAAATGAGCTGCTGCTCCCCGCCCCCTTTACCAGAATAGGGCTGTTCCTTTACAGCTCATACATCAGATAATCTGATAAAAAAATATCTGTTTGGTTTTGATTATCATGTCTATAACACTGAAATCATGCGTTTTAAAGGGGTCATATGATGCGATTTCAATTTTTCCTTTCTCTTTGGAGTGTTACAAGCTCTTGGTGCATAAAGAAGATCTGTAAAGTTGCAAAGACTAAAGTCTCAAATCCAAAGAGATATTCTTATAAAAGTTGAGTCAGCCAGCCTACCTAAAACGGCTCGTTCTCACACGCCCCCACATGTCTACGTCACGATGTGGGAAGATTTGCATAACGCCGCCCAAATGTTCACGCAAAGAAAGAAGTCGTAACTTTTATTCTCGCTGTAGTTTTGTTGTTGCCGCCGTCATGTCGTAAAGACGCTGTGTGCTTCGTTGTGAAAGC